GGCAGCGTCCTGGATAATCTGTTCTGCAGACAGGTTGAAAAGGTATGGAGATAGGACACATCCCAGGAATACATTCTTCCCAATTTTGAACCATGCAGTGTTTTCTTGCTCTGTTGACTACTGCTTCCTGGTCCAAATTATAAGTTTTGCATAAGCATGATCAAGTGTTCTGGGATTCCCTTTCTTCTCAGAGTGAGATACAGTTTGTTGTTATCCACACAGTCAAATGCTTTGCATAGTCAAAGAAACACAGATATACATTCCTCTGGTATTCCCTGCTTTCAGCTAAGATCCACCTAACATTAGCTATAATATTCCTAGTACCACGGTCTCTTCAAAACACAGCCTGCAGCTCTCTGTCGATGTGCTGTTCCAGTCATTTTGGGATAATCTTCAGCAGAATCTTGCTTGCATGTGATATCAATGATACTGTCTGATAATTTCCACACTCTGTCAGATCATCTTTCTTTGGAATGAGATAAAATATAGATCTTTTCCAGTAAGCTAGCCAGGTGGTTGTCCTCCAGATTTCTTGGCACAACTTGGTGAACCCTTCCAGGGTAGTGTCTATTTGTTAAAATATGTAAATTGGCATGCCACAGATTCCTGAGGCATTGTTTTTTGCCAATTCTTTCAGAGCAGCTTGAACTTCATCATACATTGCTTCATGAAATTCTTCTGTGTCCGCAAATTACTTTTGGTACAGTGACTCTGTATACTCTTCCCATTTTCTTTTAATGCTTCCTGGATCATGTAATAGTCTGCCCAAAGCATTCTTAATTACTGCAACCCAAGGCTTGAATTTGTTCTTCAGTTCTTCAGTTTAAGAAATGCTGAGTGAGTTCAGCCGCTTCTTCTCACTCAAGCTCTTTACACATTCCATTGTAATACTTTCATGTCTTCCCACGCTGCCCTTTGGAATCTTCTTTTCAGCTCCTTTATATCTTGATTTCTTCCCTTTGCTTTGGCTTCTTAGCGTTCCAGTGCAATATTCTGAGTCTCTTCTGACATCCATCTTGGTCTTTTCTTCCTCCTCTGTCTTTGTAATGAGCTTCTGAATTCTTCCTGGATTATATTCTTGATATACTCCCACAGCTCATCCGGTCTTCACTCATTTAGTATTCAAGGTCTCAAACCTGTTCCTGTGATGGTTTTGAAATTCAAATGAGATAGACTCAAGGTCAAATTTTGGTTCCCATGGACTTCATTTTTCTTATTTTCCACTTGAACTTGTATGAGTATTTGGTGGTCTGTTTCACAATCAGCACCTGGCCTAGTTTTCACAGCTGATATTGAGCTTCTCTAGCGATTCTTTCCACAGGTGTAATTGACCTGATTTCTATGCATATCATCAAATGAAATTTATGTACAGCCTATGTCTACATTTCTTATACAACATATTTGCAAAGAATAATTCACTGATTGTGCCAGTCTATCATTCTATCTCCGGCTTAATTTCTGTCACCAAGTCCATGTTTTCCCATTACTGAACCTTCTTCTTTATTCCCAACTTCAGCATTCCTGTCAACCATTATGATGTATGCATCTTGAGTGCATATTCGATAAATGTCTGACTGCAAAAGTTAATAGAAATTAGTCTATTTCCTTCTCTTTGGCTCTAGTTGTTGGTTATTTGAATGATGGTGGTATTTACTGACTTCCTTGTATATGTATAGATAGTATCCCATCACTCACAACATTGTATTTAACGTCAGATCTAGAAATGACTTTTTTAACTCTGAAAGCAACCCCATTTTTCCTCACCTTTTCATCTTCCAAATTGTAGATCATATGATCATCTGATTCAAAATGTCCCATTCCAGTCCATCTTATTTCACCAGTATCTAGTATGTCAGTATTTATGTGTTTCATTTCCTTCTTAACAATATCCAATATCCTACTGCCATATCTGCTAGTCCAAGTGCGTTCTACTATACATAGGGTTTTTGAAGGCCTGCTATTTCAGAAGTGGATGGCCAATTCTTCTTCCTAGTCTGTCTAAATTTGAATGCTCAGATTTATAACATTATCTGACAGAAAAGGATTTTACAGAAAAGAGCAGATTAAAGATATTTCCCAAATATGGAAATAGATTCAGTGTTGTCCCCACCCTTGGCAGGTATGTCTTAACCCACCCCTCTCCCTGCTCCAACAGCATTCCCTTTTACTCCCATCTACTCCATTCAACACCTATCTCCTCCTAATCAGAAGCACAGGAAAATAAAGAAAACCCAAAAACTCAAGGCAGTAAAGGACCTACAAAAACCACCACAGCCTTCTCTAACCTGTGATCAGAACCTAGATTGTCCCCAGTTACCACCACCAACCACCCTGACAAGAGAACACAACAGAAGGTCCTGAGTAGAACACGTTAAAGAACTGTAGAACAAAATTCACTGGCTGTAGAGAGACTTGAGGAACCTTTGAGACAATTGCCCTTAAAAAACCATGGAAAATGAAGACATTCCTGAAGCCCACCTTCCATAGAATAACAGACTCAAACTCAACCTCAAAGCCATCAAATTGGAAGCAACTCATACCTGACTCTCACTGGATTTCTGAGACTAAATTTCATGAGAGGAGAAAACCAACTTTTCTCCCAAGGAGTTGATGGTGTGAATTTGCACCACTAGAAAGGTGTCGTTCTGGGTTAGCAATGTAACTGTCTATGGAAAATGCAACCATAACTCCCTAAATAACAAAAAAAAAAAGATAAAATAAACAATCTGATAAATGTGCTCTTCAGAACAAGATTAACAGGGCAGCATTTACCAAGACCAAAAGCTGAAAGACAGAGAAGGACTAGGAACCTGGACAAAGGTGAATTGAGTGTGGAAATAAAGAAAGAATGTTAATATGCTTTGAGGTTTGCAACCAATACTACAAAACAATGTGTTTATGAACTACTGATTGGGAAAACAAGCCTGTTATGTAACTCTGATTACATTACAAATGATAAACTCTTAAGGTTTATCATTCAGATACCTTTCCTCTAGCCAAATAGTAACTTTTTATTTTAGAATGAAGTAATTATTGTATTAAGGAGAGAGGATTAGAATGGGATACAAGCCTCACTCAACTAGAGGTTTTTATAAGCTCATAGGACCTCAGCGCTAGGTGCTTTTTCTCTTGTGCAATTCTCACTTGGACAAAGCATCTAGCCTGCATCACCCAGTCACCATCCAGTTTTGCCACAGGATCCTGGCCCTTCGCTTACCAGTGTCTGCAAAACCAGCCTGCATACCTATGGTATTTTATTAATCCATCTCCTCATCTAGGGCTTTCCTCTCCTGTGCTGTTCCCTTCACCCTACCAAGCACGATATCTTTCTCCGAGGACCAGTCCCTCCTGGCCACATGCTCAAAGTATGTTAGATGGAGTTTCAAAACTGGGGCAATGGAGGTAGGTGTGTCAGAGTCAGTGCTATTAGCTCAGGACAGGGCAGGCTTCAGAGCTGTTGTACTTAGGGTCGCTATGAGTCACAGGCAACATGACGGCACATAACAACAATAACATACTTATGATCACGTGAGTTATTCCCCTTGTGATTCTTAGTACTGGAAGACTTTCTAGTGAACCATTGAACCCAAGGAACATATAGGAGGTAGGGAACTGAACAAAGGAGGAGCTACTGATGCCAGAAATCATGGTCATATACGGCAGATTAAGTATTTGGGAAAATACTGGCACAACACTTCTTACAGCTGGTCTGCGGAATCTTAGCAGAATGAATTATAAAAAATAGTAACTTCTACACAAAGCAATAAAGTATAAAAAGAAAAATACATAGTCTGCTATCTCTTAAAGTTTAACATTTTAATAGTAGAAAATACTTCATTTGCTTACTATGTTACACACAAAGGGATGTAAGAATACAATCATTCACACATAAATTAAATATTTGTATTTATTTTATGACATAAGAGTCATAAATTGCTACCTTAATAATATCTTCTGCTTTAAAAAGAAAATCAATTCTTTCTGCTAGTTAACAAAACCTTGCAAATTCACCGTAACTGAGCACTGTTGGAGAATTAGCTTTAACATGATACATGAAAACTTGGGTTTTGAAAAATGTGCATAATAAAAAATGAATAGTTGGATAAAAAAAATCCTCCAATATTTTTTCTGCTATGCTATGGGTTTGGAATAAGAAGAAATCTGTTTAAAAGAAAATTCAAAATGTTTATTATAAGAAAGCTTATTTGGAAAAAACTTGAAAAACCTATTGCTCCTTCGAACATAGCACACAACACTGGTGAAAAGCGGAGGCTCTGGAGTTGGCAATAGGTATTCAACATATGGCTCCACCATTTACTAGCTCTGTGACCTCAGGAAGTCACTTAACTCCACGCCTCAGCTTCTGCATCTACAAATGGGGAAAATAGTATTACCACATGTACTTCATATAAGAATTAAATGATAAGTAAAAAATAAACTTAGGAATATTGAAAAAAAGAATACATTTTAAAAATAGATATTAAACTACTTTTGGCACAGTCACTATCACAAAAAATTTCCGTAAGTTTAATCATTTTTAAAATCAGACTAGCTTAACAAAGATTTTGAAAATAAATGCTTGATTACAAAACCATAAATTGGTATTTCTAACATCCTCGATAACTAATAATAACTTGATTATGAACTCCTTTAAAAATAAAAATGAAGAAAGTTTATGAAAAATAGCTAACCAATCATTTGCATATACAGTTAATAATCAGTAAAGAATGGCATGTCAAAAGACCTAATTCCCTGGCCATCGTAGTTGTGTTAAGTGCCTTTGAGTCAGAATCAACTCATACCTGCTTCTCAGAGGCAGTAAATCGCATGGAGGGAGACTGTCCATCTTTTTCCTACAGTGCAGCTGGTAGATCTGACCCAGCAGCAAACTTCCTACCATTACTCCTGACCACTAGAGTTCTTGGCTATTAGAAAGAGTGACCATAGATAAATCACTTTATTAACTATACAAACTGTTAAAGAAGTTCATGAGACCTTACCTATCTTCTTCATCTTTGTCGTACAGTTGGTAATAATCTCCATTCCAAAAGGTGTTATTCACAACTTCCGGCCTTCTTGCTCTGGCTCCATTTTGCGGTATTGGCTCACGCTGTTCGGGTTCTATTCGTATAATTCCACCGAAAGGTGGGTCTAAGAACATACAGTCATGCTCTCCAGGGTAGTCGTCACATTTTATTAAGAGGTTATCTGAGCCATTTTCCTCAACTTCCAAAGCCTCCTTCCACCTCTGAACACTTCTTTGTTTAGCCTCATGCCTATTAAAACCTGTTTCTAGGTCCACTTGACTAGAACTTACCACTTTTCTAACTTTTGGCCTCACTACCTGTTCAGGAGACCTTGCCTGGTTGTTTTCCCTATCACTAGTATTTTGTTCACTACAAATATGGCCTGAAGCCCAGGTTGAATCTTCAGCTGAATTTTCTTTCTGTCTCTCCTGGCTAGTGTCATTTTGTTGTTTCTTTCTAACAACTTCATCTTCAGAAGAAGAGCTCTGACATTCCTGGTTATTCTGATGGGCAAACTCAGCATCACCAGTAGAATTTTTCACTAAAGGTGTTGAATCTAACTCTTCAAATACTTCTCTTATTTCACAGTTAAGAGAGGGAATTGATGGTGAAATGCCTGTGTATGCCTCTACTTCTCTATTTTCCAACCTAAACATTGTACTGCCCAATGCTTCCTGGTATCTACTGCCTTCTACAACTTCTGCAGAAAGCTGGTTATTATCCTCTTCATGTTTGGCATCTGGATTGTAACAGTCAGTATGAACCACCGCATTTTCATTTTGGACACCTGAAGCATTACAAGCTTCTGAAATATATTCACCCTCAGAGTGATTGTGAGGATCTGTACTGCTTCCTAAGTTCTCTCTGCCTTCCTCACTATGACATACTACAGCAAAGGATGGGCTGCTCTCAGTGGTGGTTTGATCCAAAGCTGTACCACAAATGGAAATTTCTGTTTCACCATTTTGAAATAAAGGCTCACAGGGTAAAGATGAATGGACTTGATCCAATGGACTGAAACCTTCACAAAAAACAAAAGAAAACACATTTGTAGAAATTAATTTAGACAAAAGTATATTTACTATTAAAGTACTTTAAGTAAAAATCATAGATATTATATTTGAGAATATGAATGACTTTTGGCCAATTGGCTACCTCATAACTTCATTTATACGACTTTATACCACTATATATAGAGAGAGAGCTTCTCAATATCCTTTCCCTCATATCTACTGCAGACCCTCATGTATCTACTGTAAGGTTTTTTATCTAATTCCTAATATTTAAAACCATGTGCCAAAGATACATGAGAGAAGATACTAAAGTTGCATATTAAGGCACACATGTACAGAAAGTAAATAGTCTGCCTCTTGAAACAATAACAGAAGGCTACAGATATGACAAATTATATACTATATGTGGCCAGGAGGGACCAGTCCTTGGAGAAGGACCTTAGCTTAGAAGGGTAGAGGGCTAATGCAGAAGAGGAAGACCCTGAATGAGATAGATTGACAAGGTAACTAGGGCAATAGGGTTATTATATGTTGGAGTCAGTGAGATGGTCTCAGAATATGGCAGATTCAGAGCTATTTTGTACATAGAGTCACTATGGGTTGCAAGCAACTGAATAACAACAACGTGGATTCATATCAATTCAGAAAATTGTATTATATAATCTGAAAATACTGTAAAAAGGCTTCTTATTTAATAGAATTATCTAAATTAATATAGTTAGCCACAGATTCCGCCAAGAAGAATAGATCAAAATTACTCATAAATTTTTTAAAGCAATTAAAGGGTTAAAGCAGTCCCTTAAAGACAAAGCATAATTTCTCACTGGATTAGGTATTATAAAAAATTTAAGATGATTTAAAGAATAAAGAAAGACATGTGTAGGCTAGATGTAAACATTATGCTATTTTATAACAGACTGAGAATCCTTTATATTTTGGTGTACTTGGTGAGTCCTAAGACCAATTCCCCTTGAATACTAAGGGAAAATGATAATTCAGATGCATGTATATCCTAGACAATAAAAGCAAACTAGAAATGCAAAGTTTGCTCAAGGAAAGATGACACGTTAGCCTAGAAAAACACTATTTCAAACCAATGAACAATTTAAAAACATTTAGGTGAATTAGGCATGATTTGATATTTACATTTTATAAAATGGTTAAGAAGAATGCCAAATTGGACAATTTAAATTATCTGAAGATAAAATTGCAGCAAAACAAGATAAAAAGTACTCAAATGAAACAAACATGAAAAAATATATTTAGTATACATTTTATTAAAAAATCATCTTGGCTTAAAAATAAATATTTTCTCTTGTTAAAGGTCGTAATATACTAATGATGACAGTGTAGTTATTTATATTTTACTGAATGACTGTACTGTATACTAGCTTAATCTACATTTAAATATATATACTAATTACTGTAAAGTATTTTCCAAAATAAAATTTGATAAAACAGGTATTCCATTTACACGTTTGTTGTCACTGTTGCGTGCTGTCAAGTTGGCTCACAAACTCATAGGTGACTCTCCAAGATTTTCAGAGGCAGAGAAATCACACAGAAGGAGACTGCTTATACCTCTCCTGCAGAGCAGCTGGTGGATTCAAACTGTGTGCCTTTGGAACTGCAGCACAGCTTCTTAACACTAGGGCACCAGAGCTCTGTACTTATACCATATACACACATAAAACCAAATTTCATACTAAGTATGAAATACTAAGAAGAATTAATAACACAAATTAATAGTTTATAGATAATTAAATGTTACATACCTGAGGAATTTTCCTTTGGAACATCATCTAGCTCCAACACTTCATAGTCATCACCAGCCCGGCCTAAACTTCTTTCATGTCTGGTCATACACGGTTTGAAACTGACATATGCATGTCTTCTTCCGTATCTCCTGCCTGTAATTGTCTGATATCCACCTGCTGGTTTGGGCCAAGCAGCTTTGTTGGATTCTTGATCCATTGCTGGGGGTGGGGAGGAAAGGTTAAAAAGCAAAATTGCTATGAGCAATGACTACTATTATAGTGAAAAAGAACTGCTTCAATTAAAATGCACATGCTTGGTAAATCACATGCTACTGAATTTTAAGTGCACTTTACTCCTACTGTAAAACATTTTTAGTCTTACATTTGAACAGTAATTGTGTATGTATACATATATATACACAAACATATATATGATCTGCTTACTAAATTCAATTTTACACACACTATGTAGGAACCAAATGAAATATTTTTATCATTATGCATGATAGACAGTAAACTGAAGTTATATAGTGGTTTGGTTGTTACATTAGAATAAGAAAGAAATATGATCATTTCCAAGTACAAAAAGGAAAAACATATTTTAACATCTAATATTAAGCATTTCACTATCTTAATATGCTCAATTATTTAAGATAAGCAATATATTTCACTTTAAAGATGAAAAAAATTAAGATTAAAATTAAGTGTTATAGTGACTTGTCCTATAATTTAATGATTCTAGAACAAATGTTTTTAACATTTTTTTCCAAGAGATAATATCTGAAGTGCAAAGCGTAAGTAGATATAAAAGAATTTTACTTATTTTTGTATCATTCAAAATTAAGTGTAATCAATATCAACTATATATGTAAAACCTCTCCATTATTAAAACCATATGTCAAATGGTTGCATGTCACAATATTCAGTGTCATAGCAAACCCAGATTACCTCAGCACAGCAAATTGACCAGAATGCTGTATGACTCAGAAGAATGTTCCTCCAAAAGATAGTAACAAGGGATTAAAATATAATCCCTCAGGCCCAACTTTTAAATATAAGGGCCTTCCAGGAGGTCTTGGGGACTCTAAACAAGAGGCTTAAATAAAAACAACCAAACAATCCACAGAGATTCTCAGCCAAAACAAGAACATCATCTTACAGACTCTAGCACTTCATCCAACTCCAAAATGGAGACAAGAGCTTTGGCATTGTATGTTGTTAAGTGCCATCTAGGACCAACCCTATAAATATGAACTATTTTCCTTCCTCTAAGTTAACAGTTTCTACAGGCATGTTTAGGAAGTAGATGCCAGTCTTGCTTCCAAGCCTGTCTTAATCAATGAGCTCTACCACACATTGTCAACCATGTGTAACCATATGGCATTATGGCACACCATTCGGTATCATAGCAATCCAAAGTTACCTCAATACAAAAAAAAGGACAAAACATTCTAAGTACCACTCAGGAGACTGTTCATTTCAAAGACTATTCAGCATATCTTGATGGAAAAACAAGAAATCTTCAACATGGAGGAATTACCAATGGCAGGTTCCCTACCTGCTGGCTCTTTTTCAGCATACAGTGACATATGTGGCAGTTTTTGTGTGCCCAGTTCAATGGAATTATGGATATGACTTCGTTTTTACTGACACAATGGATAATCTGTACAAAGTCCCTAAAAAGAAAACATAAATTGAGCAAAATTAGTAATGTAAACACAAAATGTATTCTTCACTTCTCCTCTTTTAAGTATAAACTCATTATTAGCCCCTTAACAACTTAGAAAAAAAGAATCTAATCTAACAAGTCAATTTAAAAACTCAGAATTACCACCTTTGCCCCAAGTATAAGTTCCATCGAGTTGAGTATGACTCAAAGAGATTCTGTGAACAACACGTCTGAACCCTGTCCTAACCTGAGCCATCTCCATCATCTCTGACACACCTGAACTGCTGTAATAACTATGTTAATTCATCTGGTTGAGGGTCTTCCTCTCATTCGCCAACCATCCACACTCTCCTGCTTAGCAATATGCACAAGTACGTGAGACTACATTTTGTCATCTTTGTCTCCAAGGAACATTCTGGCCGCACATTCTTCAACATCTATTTCTTCTATTGGTAGGCCAAAGGATAGTCAGTATTATTCTCCATCACAGTTCAAAGGCATCAATTCTCTCTTTTCAGAGACTTCAAAAATTCTGATGTAATATTTGTTAATGTTGTTATTGTTGTTATGTGCCATCGAGTTGCTTGCGACTCATAGTGACCCTATGTACAACAGCCCTAAACTCTGCTCTGTCCTGTGCCAATCGCACTGTCTCTGACACTCCCATCCCGATTACCCCAGTCGCTGAAATCAACCCACCTCATAGAGGGTCTTCCCCTCCTGTGCTGTCCCTCCACCCTCCCAAGCATGATGTCCTTCTCCAAGGACTGGTCTCTCCTTGCAACATGTCCAAAGTATGTTAGACGGAGCCTCAGAATCCTTGCCTCCAAGGAGCCACTTGGTTTAACCCTTTCCAGGATGAATCTGTTTGTTTTCCTAGCAGTCCATGGTATTTTCAATACTCTTCTCCAGCACCACAGCTCAAAGGCATCAATTCTCCTTCTATCCTCCTTGGTCACTGTCCAACTCTCTGATACATAACAAGTGATTGCAAAGACCATGGCCTGTATCAGATGAACCTTAGTCTCCAGAGGGATACCATTGCTCTTCAGTACTTTGGCGAGATCCCTAACAGCAGACTTTCTCATGGCAATACATCTTTTAATTTCCTGGCTACTGGTGCCAAGAGTTTTGACCATGGAGCCAAGCAAACTAAATGTAATATTTAGTCTAGTAATTTTCAAGGCCCATTATCCAACTATTTTTTTATTATACAGTTGTGTCTTCAATGATGCAGGGAGTATGGGGTATAGACTTCCCAGGGAGTAAAAAATCCAAGTATAATTTACATTCGAACAAGATGAGTTTGTACTGAGTGAGTAGGACTACTTATACTAGGATTTGTTTTCCTATTTCTATTGTTGTAAACTGAAATGTTGGAAAGTTATACTTAAAATAGCACGTGCTACCAACCATCTTTATGTTAGGAGTTTATCACTCTAGTAAATTATACTTAAGAACGAACAGCTCATGCAGATGATTATAATTACACTTCAAGTTCAATTCATGCAACATTTTAGCTTACAGCCATAACAATGCAGGAAGGAGCAGCTCACATGTAAATGGGTCTATGCAGTTTAAACTCTTTTTCAAGAGTCAAATGTACTACTCCTGGGTTAGGTATCTAGTTGTTTCATGTTTAGTTAAAAACAGTGAAATACCAGTGTCAGGAAGTATACATGTTAGATATAAAAAAAGAGCACAAGGGTGCAAGAAAGAGAAAGAAAGAAATTGGTCCCAAGAAATGAACAGGCCTTTATTGTGTGGTCTGAGAGGGCCACCACAGCATGCAGACAGGATCTAAATGGCCTGCAGGCAGCCTTGGGGGGAGGTTCCTTCTTATAGGGGTCCTGGGGAGGACTAAGGAGATATTTCTTGGATTGTTAATTAATTTAGCTTTGGGCTATTTTGATCAGGCTCAGCCTCCTTTCAGGATCCATTGTCTGGTCTGGTCTTTGATATGACCAGCTTAGATGTTATCGGGTTTCTCAGAAAGTGATCAAGCTTGGGAGTGGTGGGGGTAGGGCAACTGCCATATTCTTCCTTCAATACACAGAAGGTAAATTTTTAGTCCTTGCATTTTTAAAGTTATCTTTATACTTCGTTCACATTTTGGCTTCAGTTCTAGACAAAATAATTTTCTTCAAACTCTGAAAAGCAATGTCTTATAACATCTCTTTTTTTAATCATTTACATTTGTTTGGGGTTTTTTTTTATTAATTTCAAAGAACATTTACAAAGATTTTGGATTTCCATTCATTCCTTGTTGCACTTTTCTCCCCACCCACCTCATTCCCAGTCCCAGCTTCTCTTTGAAAAGTAAAAGAAAAATTCCTTCATTGGTATATACAACCCCTCCCCGCACCTCCCCACCCCTACCCCAGTATACTCCACTCTGCAACCTTAATTCTGGACTCTTATGATAATCATAATGCCCTAAAATAGACTGCTTTTAAACTGTTCTCTCTTCTAACATCTTTTATTGTTGTTAAGAAAGTGTCCTGCCAACTTATTTCTCATTGAAAGAACACACAGAAGAGGACAAATAAGGAAAGAACTGAAGCATTTACTGATCAAGAGCAAAGATTATATCCTTCAATATGAATTAAACCATAACATAAAAACAACAATAATCTTAACAACTGAATTATTAAGAAACATAATGACAAATGGAGAAAAGATTGACATTGTCATTGATTTCATTTTACTTCCACAATTAATACCCATGGAAACGAAAGTCAAGAAAAAACAAGCAATACAAAGTTTGCCTGATTCATTACTGCACATTTTCTTCTCCCGCCCCCAGTTGTTGATTTTGCTTTGTGTCCTAATACATGATCAATTCTGGAGAATGTATGATGTACACTTGAGAAGAAAGTAAACTGACTTTGAGAAGGGTGTAGAACTCTGAATTTATTCACAAAGTGGAGTTGGCTGATACACAGTTTAGATCTTCTACATCTTTTCAAGTTTCTTTTGAGTTCGCCTATCCTTTGGTGAGAGTGGTGTGTTAAAATCTCCCACCCCCATACTGTCTCTTCAGTTGTTAACTATTGTTTTAGGTTACTATGCAGGTCTATCATATAGCAACCAAGGCTAACCCCTCAAATATGGACAAAGGAAAAGGAACAGCTGTAAGCAGACACTAGTGACTGGAATGTGGAATATGAGTAGCAGGTATGTAGGAACACTAGACACTGTTGAAGACATGGAATGTATAAATATTGACATTCTAGGTATTGTTGAAATGAGAGGGGTAGGCATGTGTCATTTTGAATCAGAAAATAGTACCATTTACTATGCAGAAGATAAAAAGATGAGGAAAAATGAGACGGCTTTCACTGATAAAAAAAAGTCATTTACAGAGCCACCTTAAAAAACAATGTTGTGTGTGACAGAGTAATATCCATACACATACAAGGAAGTCCAACGAATACCACTATCAGTCAAATATATGCACCAACAACCAGAGCCAATGTGGAAAAACATGATTTTTATTAACTTCTGTAGTCAGAAATCAATTGAACATGCAATCAAGACGCATTAATAATAATGGGTGACTCGAATGTAAAAGTTGGGAAAGGGAAGAAGGATCAGTAAGTCAGAAAAATATGGACTTGGTGACAAATGAAGCTGGAGATGTTGCTATTATGTGACCTCAACTAGCCTGCAAATCATAGAGACCCTATATACAACTCTGAAGCCTGCCCTGTCCTGAGCCAGTCTCACTGACTTGGACACACCTACACCCCAGCCCCCATTGCTCTAGTTAATGTGTCAATCCATCTCATTTGGGGTCTTCCTCTCCTGTGCTATCCCTACACCCTTCTGAGCATGATGTCCTTCTCCAACAATTGGTTCCTCCTGGGTTGTTGTTGTTGTTATGTGCCGTCGAGTCGCTTGCGACTCATAGTGACACTATGTACAACAGCCCTAAACCCTGCTCTATCCTGTGCCAACCTCACTGACTCTGACACATCCATCCCGATTACCCCAGTCACTGAATCAATCCACCTCATAGAGGGTCTTCCCCTTCTTTACAGTCCCTCCACCCTCCCAAGCATGATGTCCCTTTCCAAGGACCTCTCCCTCCTTACAACATGTCCAAAGTATGTCAGACAAAGCCTGAGAATCCTTGCCTCCAAAGAGCAGCCTAGTTTAATCCTCTCCAGGATCAATCTGCTTTCTTGGCAGTTCAGGGTACATTCAATACTCTTCTCCAGCACCACAGCTCAAAGGCATCAATTCTCCACATGCCCAAAATATGTAAGACAGAGCTTCAAAATCCTAGCCTTGAAGGAGAAAGTTGGCCTCACCCTCTCCGAAACAGACCTATTTGTTTTCTTGGCCGACCATAGTATGTTCAAGACTCTTCTCCAGAACCACACTCAAAGACATTGATTCTTCTGTCATCCTCAGTCACTGTCCAGCTCTCTGATACATAGCAAGTAACTGAGAAGGCTATGGCCTGGAACAGACCTTAGAGACTGCTTCTTAGTACTCTGGAAAGGTCCCTGACAGCAGAATTCTATAAAATTAAGGATTTATTCATTGCTAATACCTTTTATAAGTATTTTTATTTCGTAATTATTTTTTTAGGTTTGTCTTGCAGAAGGTTAAAACAAAGTCTCTCCTTGGGAGGCTAGGATTTTGAAGCTCTGCCTCACTCACTTTGAGCACATGGCCAGGAGAGACCGGTCCTGGAGAAGGACATCATGCTCGGAAGGGTGGACAGACAGCACAAAAGAGGAAGACCCCAGATGAGATGGACTGATACAGTAACTGGGGCAATGGGCGTTAGTGAGACTGGCTCAGGACAGGGAGGGGTTCAGAGTTGCTGAACATAGGGTCACTGTATATCACAGGTGACTCAATGGCACATAACAACAAAAATATACTATGACAGGTTGGAAGCAGGAATGGCATCCACTTCCTAAATAACATGCCTCCGGAAACTCGATA